ATAATCTCGATATTCATTTAACATAATATTAATAAATTTAAATAATATAATTCTAACTGAACAATTAAATTCTTCACTTTTATGTAAATAATACTTTTCATCAAATATGTCTGAATTAATATTTCCACTTGAATATTCTCTTTTATTAAAAACATCTTTAAGTTCATGATATACTGTATTTATTAATTTTGGTACTTCTCTTATTATTCCTTTTGATTTTACTACTCCACTATCTAAATCAACATATACTACTTCTTCATTTTTAATAATTTTTTCTACATCTTCTTTATATTCTGATGGTACTCCCATTAAATATGTCATTGGAGAACTTACATAATCAATTAATGAATAAGGTAATGAATCAATACAAATATTACACCATTCAAATGGAAATAACAATGATTTTAAATTTTCTATTGAATAAACTAATCCAGTTTTTGATGTGCTTGTAATTATTACTTTTTCACCTTCTAATAGTGCTAGCCATACAGCAAGTACTCCATCAATTCCAATCATTTCAAATAATGGAAGGATACTTGTAGGTATTGGTGGTAATCCATTTAAACAAGGTAAATGTATTTCAACTTTAAATCCTAATTGTCCAAAATCGTATGAATATAAATTTCCAAATGATGGTTTTCCAGTCATAAAAATGACTTGATGACAATAATCTGTAAATTTCATATCATTTTCTACATTTATTTCATATAATGACTTTAACCATTTTCTCATAAATGTATGTAATGGAAAATCACTTGTTACTCCAACAGCATATGGTGCATATAATTCATCAGGTGTTTTTGGAATAATTTCTTGTATTTTTTTAATCATTTCTTTTTCAATTTTAAAATAAGCAATTAAGAAACACGCATATTTAGTATTAGCCATAGCATCTGTCATAACAAATGGAACAACACTTATATTTTTATTCGTTCTACTTACTCTTAACCCATCTCCAAAACAAAAATTCCAAATATTTAATGGAACTATTTTACCTCCATTATTTGGTGGATAACAATTTGTAATAACTCCTGTTAGTCCTACTTGTTCTATATCACTAAATGTTGCTTGTTCATTATTCATAAAATGAAGAAGATCTTCTGCAATGTCTCCTACTGTAACAGTAAATACTGCTGAAAATAATCCACATGCCTCAACTGTCTCTCTATCCTTTGCTGATGGAAGTTGTGGCATAAACTTTTTTCTATGAAGAGGATTCTTTGGTAGAGTATCACTCACAAGTGACTCAAGATCTTCCATAGAAGAGGATACTAAAGAAAATCTTGCTTTTCGTGGTTTTTCACCAATTAGCTCTTTTTCATCTTCTCTTGAAAAACGTTTAAATGTTAATAATAATTTCCCTATTTCATTTCCATTAAATGATGCCACTGTATATTTCTCTGTCGTTTCTACATTTATTCCTAATCGTTTTAATGACACTTGCACTACTCCTATTACTTGTCTTGAGTTTAATTTATTATGTTTACATACTTCAATTGTTAAACGAACTGTATCTTCAGGAATAGTCATACTCCATGTTTCGTTAAAGGATGGCTTGTTCCCAACAGTTGTCATTGTCCTATATTTCTTTTCATTAATTTTACATACACAATAAAGTCCAGTCTCACCTTCTATAAATTCTCCTGAATGAAGTACTACTTGAAGGCAATATACACGTGATAACTCCAAACCGGATTGGTGAAGATTTTGCGAATCAGTTATATTTGCTGAATTTTGAAGACCACTCTTTTGTTTTTTGAACACGAAGGTTCTTCTCATCACCATTCAACTTTCGAGATTTGTTAATTTTCAAGATGAGATAATGTCTTCTCTTTTTTATTTTTTTCACCTCTTTAATCATATTTCAATATGAAGTGAAAAGACACCCAATTAAAAGCAACAGACACAAACAAATAAATTAAAAAATTTGTCATCATGAATTATAACATTGAAATTTCAAAAAATACTCCAACCAAAAGAAATGGTAACACACAAAACCATCCCACTAACGATGCCATTGACAAAAAATGTCTCACATTGGCAAAAGCCATAAACCAACTTATCAGAGACAGAAATATTTTAGTTAAGATTGCTAAACGACATGAAAGTGTTGCCACTCAATTTGAGGCAATGATTGCACGGCACCAAACAATAGAAAATGAAAAAATTAATTTTCTTCAAAACCAAATACATGGAATAAACAAACAGCTCCAATCAATTCAAGTTATGTTAGGAGAATTAAATAAGACTAATAAAGAAGTAACTCCAAATGCAACAATAATACTTAAACAGTGTGGGATATCATCTCCATTGTATGCAGGGAGAAATGTGAATGATTTATCAACAATTAAACAATATGTTTATCATGACTTGACTAAATGTGTTGCACGACTTCATGTTTGTTTTAAAAAAGAATGAATTAATAAGATTAAAGAATTGACAAGATAGAGAAGAGTCAAGATATTAGAAAACAATAATAATTCTTGTGATGTGACTCTAATGCCATAAAGATATAAATGAATGATTAGATTAGATTAGACAAGTTAGAAAGAAAACGTCAAAAGAAGAAACTATAAAAAATAATAAAAAAAGGAAAGATGAAAGGAAATAAAAATAGAGAAACAGGGTTTAAAAAAAAGAAAAAGAAAAAAGATTTACCCTTAAAACAAAAAAAAAAGATAAAAGAGTAAATTCAGTAGCATGCCATTGTATACATTTAAAAAAATTACGCCTGTTCCTACATCAAATGAATTACAAGATATAGTACTTAGTGGAACTAATAAACATACTCCAACTGTTGTTCATAAACAATATGCTATTCAT